TATATATATATATATATACATATACACATCCAACTACACAATATAATAAAGACAAAAAATAAGAATAAAAAGAGATAACAACACAAAAAAGCACAGAAACTCTCTGAAAAATACCTCATTATAGAGGATAATACTTCAAAGAGTCACTGTGAAAAAACGAGCAATCAAAAAAAAAGATAAAAAATAAAGTTAAAAATGTAACTGGAGCGGTGTAACTGCAGCATGCTGCTTTCGCGCATGCGCACAAGAAACTAAGCTGCAGAGATGAAAACCATGTTGCCCATATTATTTCAATTTTTTATAATTTAGTTTCTCCATCAGGGCTGAAAGAATTGATTTGGTTATCGATCATTCCAATAACCGTAAACTAACTGGGTAATCCAATAAAACTGTTGAATGGAGTCTAAAGACTCAAAATGCAGTTTGATGACAGAAAAAACACTCAGAGCAGAAATGACTGAAACTATCTGGAAAATATACAGGGTATCCATCCCGATACAACTTTACAATTCAGCAGAGATGGACCGAATCATCAGCCAGCGATACTTTGGGCTGATTTTAACTTTCATTGTCTTCTATCAGTGTCAGTAGATTTCCAGCTGTCTTTCTGAGAGGCACGGTACACACTGGACAGGTCGCCAGTCCATCGCAGGACAACACAAAGACACAATTAACCTAAAAGTCCTGTTTTTGGACCCGTAGAGAACCCACGCATGCACAGGAAGCCATGTAACCTCCATGCTGAAAGAACCCAGGCCAGGAATTGAACCCGGAGCCTTCTTGCTGCAAGGCAGCAGTGCTACCCGCTAAGCAGCAGAGACTTAAAGATTTTTAGACTGAGGCAGAGCTAAAACTGTTTAGTAAACAAAAGGGGGATGTTTGGGAATCACTGCATCAGTGCATCCAGCAGCCATGTGTAGAAGTGCATTTAGGCTCTGGCCGTTTGCTATCCATTGTTAAGGTTTGGTTTGATTTGGCAATATGTTTTGTTCAGTTTGTTTAAATTGAGACTTGTTTAATATCAGTCATCAATGTCATTTTCATAATGTAAATGATAGAAAACCAATAAATAAATTTCGACTAAGAATCGGCCCAAATATATTGGCAGCGAATATCAAGGATCTCTCGGACTGATGCCAAAATAATTGGCCTGGATAAGCTGTACCGGTCCATCTCAAATCTCTGAGTGTTGACTGATAGAAATCATTCATCCCTTTGTTACTTTTGTGGTGTGGAAGGTTGGAAAATACTTGATCAAATGATATTCTTCCAACTGAAGAAAAAAAAATACTCAACAATTATAATTGTTTTTTAAATATTTTATAGGTATGAGATATAAAGATATTGTGTGGTTAAGGGTCTTTGCTCAGAGACCCAGGGTGGAGGCTGTGTGGATTAAACCAGAGCACAGAGCACTGCTCTAAGCCAGTAGGCCAGGGCTCTGCAGCCTGGGGCTCTTTAGAAACTCAACTAATCTACTACTCTTAATCACTTTGGCTAATTATTAGAACCATAGATATACAAAACAAAATGCATGTCTTGGCATATTCCAAACTGCCTCATTGTATTCCGTAAAAAAAAAAAACAGAAATATATTATTTTTAATCTTTTTTTAAGTGATGATTAACATGATTTCCAAAAAAACATCAGCAGCTCATTGAAAAATGCCTTTTTTCTCCTTTGGCAGTTTTTTTTCCTTAAGTTAAAAACCTAAAAATTTGAAATGGTACAATGGTTGTTTAAAAATGACAAATTTCCTGAGGTTCATTTTTCTGAAATATAATCTGTTTTTTTTTTTTTTGTTAAGAAAATAAATCGCGCAATATTTTGTTGCTCTAAACGAGTTTTATTAGCAGTACAAAAGTCCAAAATGGCTCTTTGGACTGTAATAGTTGCAGACCCCTGTGCATAGTGACGAGGCCAACACTCCAAGGATATAATTATGAGATCAACTGAGCCACGTGTTACCAGCTATTTGGGTTACATTAACTTTACATAGAAGTGGAGAGTTTCTATCAGCATGCTGATGATTTAAACGCAGCATATATTCCAATATTGTTTATGTATTTTTTGTCTGATGTTATACTGAACATCCCCTGAAAATATCAACATTTTCCATTTGAAATAAGGAAAATCTTTCTGAATATCTTCTATCCAAAGCTCCTGAAGTGGAAGTTCAAATTCTTTATGAAAAAAAACCCTCTAATGAGCCCTGATTATTATTTCTATTATTTGTAAAAGGGATTAAGGGTCTTTGCTCAGAGACCCAGAGTGGCAGTCTGTGGGAGTGGGGCTCAGAATCTCAGGATTCCACTCTAAGCCCTAACCACTAGGCTGCCACTCCCCTCCTATCATTATAATGACAAATTATTCATCTATGCTTGTTTATTTAGGAATGTTGACTTAAAAAAGTCTAAATAATTGATCATTAAAATGTGTATTTATTCTAAAAATAACTGCTAGCTGCAGCCCTGTTCTCCGTATAGGTTCTGACTTTGTTTCAATCAGCTTTTAACTCTCTGCGTTGATTTAATGAGCTTCCAGAGGCAGCCATCTTGAATCTGGAAAAGTGTTAAATAAGAAGGTGTGTCCAAATTGCACTTATGATTTGACTCAGATGTAATAAAAAGATGACCGGGGGCATCGGAGCAATTACATCGATTGGAAGTTGCCATGTTTTGCATCCCTGGTTATTTAATTTCCTTCCTGTTGATAAAGAACAATGTCTAAACCTGGTTTGTTGAAGTTAATTTGCTCTTCTATTGGTTGTTGCATGCAGGATTGCCAAACGAGCTCCTTTTGCTCCTCCCCTTCGCCAGCTGACCTCTCCAAAGATAAACCAGAGTTCTGCGTATTACTAATGACACTTTTTTATGAATTATTATCTGTTTGCCTGAAACACGACACTTTGCTGTAAGCTTGATAGCAGAGAACTTGGCATGAAAACCACATCCATGTCCTTTATGCTTTGTTTTGGTGAAGTAATGTTTTATTTATATATATTCACCCATCTTGGAACAATATAGACATTTTTCCCTCCATATTTCCATTTCTGCCACTTGCCTTTACATGCTTCTCTTATTTTCCATTTGTCGCTGTTTTTTTCCTCGTCTGTATGTTTGTCTCCTTCCTTTTTTTTTTCTCCTCACTCTGTATTGCTTCAGGTATTTCTTTCCACCTCTGGATCCTCCCAGAGGTGGGACCAGGCACGGCCACCTGCTGCCTCCTTCCTCCCTCATAGAGCACTGTGATGCCGAGGCTGTGCAGCAGCCGCAGCCACTGGCTCTTCCTCACAGACACTCCTCCTCCAGGGCGCTGCTGTCCCTACCAGAAGCTGAAGAGCAATGATTCAAATTGGAACAGATTTAAAGTGTTTACCTTTGTTAGAAAATGTAATGCTGTACTATGAAAAGGAAAAAAAAGAATAAGGTCATTTACTTGTAATAAATTCTTTTCTTAACCTTTCAAGGTTTTGTTTTTGTAATAAAATCAAAAATGGGAATAACATTTGTTTACTGTGGCTTATGCGGGATTTTAATATCTTAAAATAAAAAAGTCATATTCAGAATAAAAACTTCTGAAAGTACTTTAAATAGGAAGTTATTACACATTGTTCAATAAATGACAATGTTTTTAAGTAAGAGGATGTTATGGTCTTGGTTCTGTTAAGCTTTCTTTAAGTTTTCAGTTTCATGTTTTTCTTTGTTCTCTAGTTTTATTGGTTTAATTCCTATTTTGTTGTGTTTTTGGATGTATTTGGCTTCCTATGTTTTTCTTTGTTGCCCTCTTGTGTTGGTTTCCTTTTCCTTAGCTCTTCTTCTAGAAGCCTCTGTTCTCACCTGCTCCCAATCAGCTCGTTAGTCCTCCCTTTGTTCACTCAACCTTAAATACTCTCCTTGTCCAGTTCCTCAGTGCTGCTTCCTTGTCTCTCCTTATCTTTCCCTGACTCCTCGTGTTTGTTTCCCCTGATGTCTCCGTGTTTCTGGTTACGTTTAACATTTTAAGTTGGATTTTGGATTCCTGCCTCTGTTACCTGTAATACATTCATTAAAACTGCAAGAACTCGCCTCTGCATTTGGGTCCTCAAACCACAACCACAGTAATTTTCATTTGAATGTGCTTTAATGGAGGCATCCATGTTTGTCAAAGAACACTACCGCCACCTACTGGTTTGTAACGTCACGGTGCGGTATCGGCTGTTGATCAAGTCCCAGTGCTGTATCTGGTGTTTGTCACAATGTGCTATTATCCAGGTCATCTTGAAAACATTCTTCTTCCAAATGTTGGCTACATATTACATGTCTTTTCTCTGGTCAGAAGTTTGATGGCAAATTCTCCCTCTTCAAGTTGGCAATCCAACGGCGAACGCGTCCGTGGAGGAATCGGAAAGGTGAAATAACAAATTTATTTCACTTTTACCCGATTTATTCCATCCTTCAGCTGCCATGCACGTGGGCATTGTCAGTTTCACTATAGCTCTGGTGAATTTCAATGGTGAAGTCACCTGGAAATCTTCAATAATTGTTGTTGATTGCAGATGTGTCTAGTAGTTCCCGTTGATTTTGCTTGTAAAGCGGAGAATGGCGCTAGGCTTACCGCACCGTGACGTCACTAACAAGATGTCAGGAGTGAGGCTTACTATATTTGCACTAAATTGAATCACTATAAACAATCATCCACTGATAATTTCTTGCTGAATGGACTTCTCCCTTAAATAAGTTTTTTGATCATAAAAACTGGATTTCCTTTATAACTCATAAATGAGATGTTTCTTTTTAATGCTGTGACAGTTTTTTTTATTTTTACTGTTCCCCTTTTATTCATCAAAACCAGACGCTGTATGAGTAACTGACTCCCAAACAGCTCAGTGGAAATGTCCCATGATTCATTAGACACACATTCCAAAAAAGTTAAAAAGCAATCCACTGGCCTGTAAAGGGAAACAGAAGACTTCACCTATTCAGCCAGGCCAACAATTCCCTTTAACGACCCCCCTTTTAAAGACATAGACAGGTATGGGGCATTACAGGCTAACAAAAGAAGCCAAACGACCCCCATTCCAAAGCGGTGGACCCGTTCCTCTGTTTCAATTTGCATGTTATCTAAATGTAAACAAGGTTTTGTTGGACTACTGTATAAAACCTCAAACTCAACGCTATTTCTGACATTTTGAATTAAAAAAGCTTCCTTGATGGGAAGCGAAACATCTTCAAACTTGGAAACGAAGTCCAGTGGATTGTTTTTTAACTTTTTTGGAATGACTGTGACCTGGATGACTGAGAATCTTCACCAGCATTAGACACACATGTTAAAACAGACTTTTAAAGCTGCTGAAAGTAACCATCCTCACCTGGGATCTGAGCAGATGGCATCTGGTTATTTTAAGGCAATTATTTATGAAAACATTTAGGAAAATGTGTGGTTGCTTTGTGTGATCATCCATGTGAGCAGCCCTCTGTGGATGCTGTTCCCATGAGCCTGGTGTTCTTCTCCACTGGTGTTCCTCTCCACTGTCGCCACATGCTCTTCTAGGAGGAGGAGATCCTGCCAAGTCATTGACTGGATGCAATCCTTGGAACATTTAATCGTTCTGACTGGATGGTTTGATTGAACTGTCTTTATAAAAATAAAATGTGTTTTAACTTGACACATAATGAACTGGAATTACATTGAGCAAGGCCAAGTTCACATGTTTGGGACATCAGCACAAAAAATAAGGGATCCTGGAGCAGGGGCGTAGGTTTGATTTTAACTTTGATAGGGACACTATTGGTCTGATGTCATTGGTCCTATGCAAAAATATGCACGCTCGTTTTTTTATACTTGACGGGAAAATCAGGGTGTATTTCATTTAAAGAGAAAAGAAGCATTTCTTGCTACATTTATACAATTTTTATAAGCAATACACTAGATGCTGTTTATCAGTGACTGAAGCTTAACTGGCTCTGATAAATGAGGAATTAGGACTTTTTTCCACTTTGAAAATGTTTGCGTTTGAAATTACCAGCGACTAGGAGTCCTAGTCTAGGACAGTAGGTAAATCTGTGCCTATTTAACAGAATGTAGTCTAAATATGTCTGTTATATGTGGATTTATACTTTTTTTTATTTTGAAGATATAGAATTGTGCAGAGGTAAATAGAGGTAAAACCCACTCTTTTACATGTTCTCTTTGTATCATGAAACAAAGCGAAATAAAAGATTCAAGGGACACCAAATAAATGCATTGTATTTACATGAGCCCTGGAACTAAAAGAGGAACTGATATTGAGCATTTAATATATTAACCTCACTCTCCAAGTTGTAAGTCTAGGATGTAGTTACTCTATTTAACCAATTTCATAAATTGTATTAAGGGCTGAAACAATTCATCGGATTAATCAGTTATTGAAATAATGTAAAAAAAAAAGTAGTAATCAATTAATCGTTAACTGGAGTATAGAGACTCTAAAAAATGTCTTTAGCTCACAGAGCGACGCACTTAGAGCAGTAATTATACCAAAATTGTAAAATAAATAAAAATTTTGAATTTTGAACAAAACATATTTTTGTCTCAATATTTTCCAGCATTGCTGCAACAATGCTGTATTGTAAGTTATAAACATGTTATGCACATGTAATTGTTGGTAGGGACAAGTAGGTCGGCCCAAAATGTTGGTACTGTAGGGACATGTCCCTATGGTCCCTATGCAAACCTACATCCATGTCCTGGAGTGTCATCTCAGTCTTCTCACCTTGGGTTCATTTTTACAAACAGAAGGGCTCATGGGAACTGGAGACTTTCTGCTAAGAAGAATATTAAACTTTTTTAAGTTGGAAATAGTGGCCTCTCTACAACTATCAAAGTTGATGAGAGCTACAAGTTGATGGGAGATTTGAAAAGAGCAAAATCATTTCTGTGATAATAGCTTTTACTCATCACCAGAGGATAGTGTTTTTGAAGTCTTTAGGGTCCTTCCTTTCTGTCTTTTCCTACTATTTTTTTGCCATCTGTCATGAATTTGTTGAATTAATTTTTTTAATGTTTTCATTAATTTGTATGTTATCAATAATAAAAGAACATCCTTTTACATGAAAAAGAGTATGAGCCTTTGGTTAAGCATCTCATACGAACTTAACACACTGAATTTTTGGGTTTCTTTGCAAACATTGGATTAGTTGTATGAAGAACTGAGGGTTGTAGCATTGTTTAGTACTTTTGGTATACATGATATACATATGATGAATGATTTGTCTGCTGCTTTATGAGTACCCCATAACTTTATGATTTATTTCCTTGTTTAGGTTGCATCATTTAGTTGGCCTCAATTCAGTTAGAATAAAAAAGAAACGTTTGCTCCCTTTTGGCAGCTGTCTAACCGGGCATTCCTGCAGCAGCATAGTAGATCACATGTTTGGTAGGAAACAATATGCTTTGAATTTAGCTACTTGGTTGATTCCAAGAAAGTTAAAAAAAAACAATCCATTGGTCTTTGTTTCCAAGTTTGAAGACGTTTAGCTTCCCATCCAGGAAGCTTTTTCAGTTCAAAATGTCAGAAATAGCGTTGAGTTCGAGGCTTTATACAGTAGCCCAAAAAAGCCTTGTTTTGTCTTAGACAACAATGAAACGGATAAACGGGATTCCCCTTAGAATGGGTGTTGTTTGGCTTCTTTGTTAGTCTGCAATCCCCCATACCTGTCTATGTCTCTGAAAGGGGGTTGTAAAAGGGAATATTTTTCCTGGCTGAACAGGCGAGGTCGTCTGTTCCCCTCTAAGGGGTTTTGGTTGCTATGATGGCGTGAAGGGATCAACTCTATTATTGCATTGTGAAACCTAAGTCCACCCCCTCTGTTTAAGGTTGTTTTTTCTTTCTTAGATGTTTATGTGTTGGTCCAACAACTCATTTACTGTATTCTTTATTCTCAAGTAAAGTACCACACAAATATAGTATTTATTTTTTATAATTAGCATTATTTTTAGTATTATATTTTTTCCCCTTATTATCACTTGCACTGGTTGTAATGATTTGCAGTATGTTTCACCTAGAAAATATTTCTTAATTTGGTTTAAATTTTATTTAACTTTCTTTTTTGTAAGTAAAAATGTTGAAAGTCCTCATTCTGGGTGGAGTTTATAAATGAATTTATTCTTTATTCATTTCAATACAATGAGAACAAATGGTCTATTTTCCAAAAAGCTTATAAAGTGCGGCACTGGTACCAACCTATCATATTTGGCCATTTCCGCCCTCTCTCTTTTTCTGGCCAATCAGATCATTTCAAATATTTAGGCCCCACCCTAAAGATATGACGCTGACGCGGGCTTCCTGTAGCGTCTGGGCGCCTCTTGTTTCTGCAAAGCAGAGCTCTGTTTGTTTGAAACGCCTTATTTTAGTAAATAACGTCAAACATGTGTGTTAGAGACAGACCAGCCGGAACTTAACTCCACTTTTCTGCGAGTCTGAAGAAATTTAAACGGCAAAACTCGACCGGGAGGAAGACAGTTTGCATCTCGGGCCCGTTTCTGGTGAGCAAATTCAAGTTTTCGGACAAACTAACGTCTACTTTATCAAGTGTTAAATTTAGGTAAAGTTCATTAGGAACTACTGCAGCATAGAGCTGAAGCTGAGATTGCTATTATCTGTGTTTGTAAGTCACTGTTCGATACTTTTATGTTACTCGAAATAAGTTAAAGTACTTGAGTCGTTGTGTTGAGTAGGTGAAGGTTCTTGTTTGTAGCAATTAGCTCAGCAAAGCAGGCTATGATTATATGAAGGTAAATGTGACAGTTTATGTCAAACATGGAGGTTATTCTTATGAAAGCGATCTTGGAGAACTTCCTAAGATTCACGGTAAGATCAGGTTAACCTCTAATTTCCTCTGAAGTTAAACGGAACAGATTGCCTGAAATGAAATGTCTTGAAAATAGGAAACATGGCGGAAAGTTTCTACAAGCTGGAGGATGAAGCCTTTCCCAGCTTCCTCGGCAGGTCTCTGGACAACAGCAGCGGCCGCTCCACCCTGGGGAATGTGAGCCTGGGTTCTGGTCCTGGTCTGCCTGTCGCTGCTTCCACGGTGGCTAAAATTAGACCCCACAGCAGGTGGGGAAACACGGAGCCTCCTCCACATTTTTAACATCACTTATTGGACATCTCACTTCCTATATGACTCTAGAAACGCATGTTTGCACTACAACACTGCTGAGGCTGGGATTCCTTCAGTCACTCAGTGAAATACTTTCAAAATCCAAGTTTCAACCCAATAGTGTTATTAGAATCCAGGACAAGACCTTATTACCTTTAGTAACATTAAAAAAAATTGATATTTTGACGACAGAAATTAATTTAAATGTAATAACAAGGAACACCAACTTGACTAAATATATTAAGAAAAATAACAAAAATGCTTCTATAAGAAATTCAGTGTTTAGTGTTTATTTAATCTTTTCTAATTTGAGGTACAACATTAGATCAGACAATCAATTCAGATAATTTTGGTGGGCAGGAAGATTTCCACTGTAAACCTAGCGATACCCATACTATCAAAAGGCTGACATTCTATTCCTATGAGTTCAGATATCGTTTTATACACTCCAAACCAAGATGAGTTCAAGGATGGGCATGACCAAAACATCTTAAAGTTCCAGGGGCATGACATCTATTACAATTTTCCTCCAGATTCTCAAATGTGAAAGCATTTCTGTCTGGTCATTTTACAGAGATCCTGTGGAGGCTTCATATCTGGAGGGCAGAGAACAGGATCTAGGGAAGTCACAGTCATCAGTTGGAGATCATCCCAAATTTTCCCTCGGCTTCAAAGATTACTTGTGAGTATTGACTTTCTTTGGAAGCAGGTTTTTGTTCTCTATTATCCTTTGAAATACGGATTATAAATCTAAACCCCAATTCATAAGATTATAAAGTCACATGGTTAATGGAAGGCAGCTGTGTTCCATTTTGACTGAAGTCGAGAGCCGTTCTTGGCCGATGCCGCGAGGCGCCACTGTGATCATGACCTGATCTGACTGAAGTTTGTTGATAGAACTCCAGTTTTATTCTGGGTTCTTGTTCTTCGTGGTTCATATTTGGCTGCCCTGGCCATTGTTACAGCAATGACCAAACCACTGTTCAAACAAAAACAAGACTTTGTTGGGCTATTCTATAAAGCCTCAAACTCAACGCTATTTCTGACATTTTTAATTAAAAAAGCTTCCTGGATGGGAAGCAAAACATCTTCAAGCTTGGTAACAAAATCCAGTGGATTGTTTTTTTTAACTTTTCTGGAATGGCAATGACCTGGATGACTGAGAATCTTCACCAGCACATCTGCCTCCTTTTTTGTGGATCCTCTTCTGGTCTTAGTTATCATGTTGCGCATGTAGAAAATGTGTTTTCCCTGAGAAGTTCATCTGTTTCCTGGCTACTTAAAGGGAAATATTATGATGCAATTTCCTGGATGCATATTGTTTTTAGTTATAAAAGGTTTTGGCTTAGATTACCAAAAATGGTTTTGCTTTGATTATAATCTCTAGTCGTTATTTTCTTTTTTCTTTTTCTGTCACAGAGATAATGCAGATGACTACCTCACAACACACCGCCTGTCAGACATGCTAGTTAAGATCCATCTAGATGAGGGTACATCCAGACCCCAAGGCTCTAAGGTCGGCCATCTTCCCACCGAGGCGGGTTCAGTGTGTGGTCAGCCCACAGAGCTAGAAACAGGTTCGTACTCCAAGACTAATCCTCACCTATTCTCTCATTCCCTGTTCTGGCTCAGGGTGTCCATTTGACGCTTTTGTCTTATGTTTTATACGTTTCATCTTATGTTAGTTGGGTTTTGATAAAGGTTTCAGTACTTGTTACTTTTTTATAATTGTTTCTACAACTAAAAAAATCTTTCTGCCTTATGAATAGATCTGTTGTTTCCTTTCATAGATCTTTCAACTGGCCGTCTGACATTTACACAGTTGGACAACATTAAGGTACCAATACTCAGTCTGCCTGTTTGACTGTTTAAAGGAAAAGTCCGATCAGCAAGGAACGATCATGATCTATACCTAAAACTAATACGTTTGTGGTGATTTAATGAATTTAGCGTTATTCAGTAAAAAAAAATAAAAACAATAATTTAACTTTCAAAAGAAATGACTCTTCATTAAATTCACTTATCATTTATTGAACAGTATGTAATAATTTCATACTTAAAGTACTTTCAGGAGGTTGAATTCTGAATATGAGCGGACTTTTCCTTTAATAAAACCTATAGATAAACCATTTCTCAGAGTTTTATTTTTGAATTGCAATTATTTCCAAATTTTAAAATGCAAAACATGTTATTTTCTTGCTGCAATAATAAAACTAAATTCACTCCATAGAGCTTTTTTACAATTTGGTTGTTTTTTTATTTAAAAATAAGGGGAAAGCTGAATGTCTGTGGAGTCCATGTAAATTAAAGCTTTTACGTCAAACTTCTCCTAATGTGTTCAGGCTTCAGCTGTTACAGCTGAGGAGGATCGTTTGCAGACTAACATCCCTGAAAGTGACGACTTCAGTGGAAGCAATTCCAGCTTCCTGGCCAATGAGAAGCTCATGTCTGTGGACAACATCAACAGTGATGTCACAGGTACTTTATAGCACCTTAACATTACTGCTTCTGATTAAGAGACAATTGAACTGAATTTAATTGTTTTGAAAAGTATGGATAAATAATGGGGAAAAGGAAATCTAGATGTTTAAAAAGACATCTGAGATTCTTTGCTTTTATTATGCTGGTGAAGATTCTGTCATCCAGATCATAGAATGCCAGGGAAAAAAAAAAATCCACTGGACTTTGTTCCCAAGTTTGAAGACGTTTTGCTTCCCATCCAGGAAGCTTTTCCAATTAAAAATGTCAGAAATAACATTGAGTTAAAGCCTTTATACAGTGGCCCAACAAAGCATTGTTTTTGCTTAGACAAAGTGCAAATTGAAACGGACAAACGGGTCCGCCCCTTTGGGGGTCATTCGGCTTCTTTGGTTGGACTGCAATGCCCCAATTCACTAGAACACGAGTACGGACTCGCGTCCTCGCCAAGTATGTTCTTGAGAAGAACACGGGAAAGTCTGGACTCTGGGAGCATGCAGCATAAATATGGGTCAATTGGAATAGAAGCGTACTGATGACGTCACCACATGCTCTGCTCTTCTGGAGCTGCATTTCACCTCCTGTTATTATTAGTCTCTAGATAATAATAAATTCTTACTTTTTTCATTTAGTGGAGGAATAATAATGAACACAGGTAGATAAACTCAAATGAATATTTTGCCAAATAAAACAAAAAACTCGCCATCAGAGCCAGCAGTACGTCACACACGGTTATGCGGAGAGAGGGCTGCTGCAGACGGGCTAACATGGCATAGCTCTGGCTCTGGCTACAGTTAGCCTTGGAGGTCCGCTGGTTGCCACGGTCCTCAACATCTTTTTTAAATTATTCACTAAATCAGTAAATGGACCATATAGTGACGCTCATAACATAATGTTCTCAGCTCAAATGATCTTAAAATGTAATTTTATTGAACAACGGCAGCATAAAAGAGAACTTTTAACTTAATATCCTGGAAGCTGCTGTTGACGCAGTGCATGCTGGGACAGTTGTCAGTCTCGAGAACGGACATGTCTGCTCTGATGCATTCTGGGTAAAGAAGGAGGGGCGAGAACAACATCCGGGGACTTTGTCTGTTCTCTGTCTTCTTGTTTTTGTGAATTGGAACAGTACTAGGAATAAGGCTGATGATGTTTTTTTGAGTACAGTGGATTGTTTTTTTTTTTTTTTTCCTTTTTTGGAATTGCTTTTCCTTTCTTCTTGAATGAACACCCACATTTCTGAAGAGTTCAATGCTTTTGTTTTGTTAAACCAAAATTAAAGTTGGTTTAAAATTTTTAGAAATTCCTTCCTTTTTTCTGATTTCCTTTTTTTAATGACTTGAATGTAGAGTAAGGCTCTTTGGTCAGGTCTCCTACACATATAAGTACAGGCCATTTACCATTTCAAAATGGCAGACGACACCCAGAGCTTAGGTGGGGTTTGTAACACTTTGCTGTAGATGTTAGTGTTATACCTTAATATGCTTGGGCCCCCAGATGATGACATGGATTTGAACAACCTGCCGGACGATGAACTAGAGATGTATTTCAACAAACTGATCCCTCCGGCAGCGCAGAGAGGCAGAGTGGAGGGCCAGGAGATTCCTGTGAAAGTAAGACTTCTCCTCCTGCGTTGGATCAATACGCGCTACTTTCTGTTCGTTTTGTTTTCCGTTCAGTCTTTTATGATGCAAATGATTTAATTCAAAGCTAAAACAGACCTAAATATGCGCAGGGTGTTGGGGGTGCTGCAGATGATCCATCAGAATCCAGCTCTGAAGAGGCGCAGCAGCAAAGATGCCAGTTCCTCCATCACTATGATCAGGTTCTCTTTTCTTTACTGAAGTAAAATTAGACTATTAGAAAATGAATAGAAAACTATTCCGTTGATAAATTTGGTTTGTTTGAAACTTTCTGTGGTGAAATGTAATAATACATCCTGGAGAAGTGAAGAGTTTTCTGTTTTTTTTTTTTTGTTTACAGACGGACTTCCGGAGGCCTGATGTGCGTCTTGCTGCTACAGGTATGGACTCATGTCCAGCCAGCGATGAGGACACTGAGGATGAGCTGGAGACGGCCAGGAGGAACAGCGGCGTCACCAGGACACGGCTGTTGCCGAGCACGTCTAGACAGCTGGTGAGGCTTTGGTCGAATGGGGAGGGGTTATTACTGGTGGGGTAGTGAGGCATCTTGAATTGTTTCGACACATTGCCAAACTGTAATGATACTGTCTCACGGAATACTGACACCTGCTGGACCTTTATAGACACTACAGGCAGCTTATTTGACAGACTGAACTTGATGACCTACAGGTCATATTGTGATCAAGTTATTTTCCATAAGGCTAATGATAAAACTTAAAAATTCATATATTTTAGATTCATTGCACACTAACTGAAATATTTCAGGTCTTTTATTATCTTAATATGGATGATTTTGGCATACAGCTCATGAAAACCAAAAATTCCTATATCACAAAATTAGCATATTTCATCCAACCAATAAAAGAAAAGTGTTCTTAATACAAAAAAGTCAACCTTCAAATACTTCTGTACAGTTATGCACTCAATGCTTGATCAGGAATCCTTTTGCAGAAATGACTGCTTCAATGCGGCGTGGCATGGAGGCAATCAGCCTGTGGCTCTGCTGAGGTGTTATGGAGGCCCAGGATGCTTCCATGGCGACCTTTAGCTCATCCACAGTGTTGAGTCTATCAACTTTTCTCTTCACAATATCCCACAGATTCTCTGTGGGGTTCAGGTCAGGAGAGTTGGCAGGCCAATAGAGCTCAGTGATACCATGGTCAGTAAACCATTTACCAGTGGTTGTGCCAGATTGTGCTGAAAAATGAAATCTTCATCTCCATAAAACTTTCAACAGATGGAAGCATGAAGTTCTCCAATATCTCCTGATAGCTGCATTGACCCTGCCCTTAATAAAACACATTGGACCAACACCAGCAGCTGACATGGTGCCCCAGACCATCACTGACTGTGGGTATTTGACACTGGACTTCTGGCATTTCCTTCTCCCCAGTCTTCCTCCAGACTCTGGCACCTTCATTTCCAAATGACGTGCCAAACTGAGCAACAGTCCAGAGCTGCTTCTCTGTAGCCCAGCTCAGACGCCTCTGCCGCTGTTTCTGGTTCAAAAGTGGCTTGACCTGGGGAATGCGGCACCTGTAGCCCATTTCCTGCACACGCCTGTGCACGGTGGCTCTGAATGTTTCCACTCCAGACTCAGTCTGCTGCTTCCGCAGGTCCCTCATGGTGTGGAATCGGCTCTTCTCCACAATCTTCCAAAGGGTCCGGTCACCTCTTCTCGTTGTGCAGCTTTTTCTGCCACAGACTTCCCACTGAGGTGCCTTGATACAGCACTCTGGGAACAGCCTATTGGTTCAGAAATGTCTTTCTGTGTCATACCCTCTGGCTTGAGGGTGTCAATGATGGCCTTCTGGACAGCAGTCCGGTCGGCAGTCTGACCCATGATTGGGGTTTTGAGTGATGAACCGGACTGGGAGTTTTAAAGGCCTCAGGAATCATTTGCAGGTGTTTAGAGTTAATTTGTTGATTCAGATGATTAGGTGCATAGCTCGTTTAGAGACCTTTTTCATGATAAGCTAATTTTGTGAGAAAGGAATTTTGGGTTTTCATGAGCTGTATGCCAAAATCATCCCTATTAAGAAAATAAAAGACCTGAAATATTTCAGTTGGTGTGCATTGAATCTAAAATATGCTATATGTTTAAGTTTTATCATTACATTATGGAAAATACCTGTAGTACGATAATATAATTTAAGTTATTGTAGTTTATATTATATCATTTCTTATCTATGTTTAAATTGAAAATATCTTTGATATTTTTTATATGCAGCCAATAAATAGTGTAAACATATATCAGAACATGGAAACTGAGGGGAAAATGTGAATGAGGATTGTTACGACCACCCAGGCCACAACATACTTAAGGACCCGAGACAAACATGAGGTTCAAAAGAATTATTTTATTCTTAATCTCTGGAACTTCTTTTTAGATCAGTTGTGTTGTTTTTCTGCAAAGAGACAAAAAAAACAGAGTCAGATTTTTCCCCAGTTCCCCGTGTCCAAAAAAAAAACTGAACAGAAAGTTGGACCCGGTGAGCCGATCCAAAGAAACAAAACGGTACAGCTGAGGGCCAACCCTATACAGGGCCGTCGAAGCCTCTGCTAGTACTGAACTAACGCTTAAAACTCTAGTAGGAATAAAAAAGATGAAAACAGGGCAACCAGTCCCACCAGGTCAAAGTTACAAAAAATCAGCAAAACGGGTGGAAACCCAGCCTACTTATAGGCAGACCAATATCACAACAAATTAACGTAATCGAATTATTTACAAAAGAAAAAAGAAACAATTATCAAGACTCTAAAATTTAAGTGATTCAACTAAGGTCTATGCAACACTAGAAGGAAAAAACAAAAATAATGAATGTGCCCGACGCACATAACAAGGATGCTTGTGGACTTGAATCATAATTTCAAAACAATTAGTATAGTAAAAACATTAAAATAAACTAAGAGTCAATTAGAAATAAACTTTAATTTAGATAAGCTGAGTGAGAACTGAGAGGAAAAGGATGACACAATGAGAAAATTAAAATAAAAACAAATTCCTATTCCTTTTAGGCTCTAAAATTCTGGATCATTTTAGTGATGAACTGCAAAAGATGAGACTTTTTTTTTAGCAGATGTATCACAATGACTGATCCGTTTTTAAACACATTTAGTGAGTCAGTAAATTAAAAGCAACTCCTGTATCGGTCACATGACATCCATGAAACGACACATGCACTGTTACAGTGATTTGGGCTCCACGCATGCACCAATGCAGCGGTGTTACTGGACTGATCACTAGGGTTATATATTCCTTCTAATGTTAAGAGATTGAATAAAACTGTTGAGTTCTGTAGAGTTTTCATTGTTTTAATGGTGAGAATCATCAGTTTTACAGCAGCCTGTCTTCTTTCTCTGGGGATCCCCGTTATCACAGGTTGGAGAAAGTAACCGTCCCAGTTTCAGACCAGGCTTAGAAGGGGGCAGTTCGGATGACGAGGCCTCCTCTGGCGGTGGACCGTCACTGCTTCCTGGAATTGGACACAGACGATCCGCTGAAGGGCAGGTTATCAGCTCTCCAGTTGCAGGTTAAACATTCAGTTTTCATATAAATTCTGAAATATGTATTCACTTATATTCTGTATACTTTCTTTCTCAGTATTCCTCTTTTACAATTAACATATCTTTAAAAAGTTTTTATCAGTTTAGTAGATAAAGCACCAACATTAGTAGATCTGTGTGTATATTTTTTTTTTCAATATCAAATCTCGATGAATTTAAATCTACTTTGACCCCTGAGCAGTGGTAGCATAGGGGTACATTCTTAGAATTAAAGCCAACATTTCCAAAACTGCCCACAGCGCTGCAAAGCAGCAGCTGCTGGAGTTGGAAAAATGTAACTTTTAGCTGCTTGACACACCACATCTCTGAAACAGTGATCATAGCACTCATCATAGCATAAATTAACTTAAAATGTAGAAACCTGCCGGAAAAATGTGTTCGCTGTTAATGTTCTGGTGCCTGCACTTTGGATTATGTACATGAAAAACACCTTCCAGCCGCTACTAACAGCAGCAGAAATAACTGACAGCGAAATCATATTTGAAAGCAGGATCGTGATCTTGATGAACTGACTGCGCAGATGAATTATTCAGGTGGACTTTGTCACTCAAAAACCTATTAAAACTACTTTTTACCCACTGATCACTGCAAATATTGCTGCCATTGTTACAAGCGAGAAAGGATAGGGTAGCTCCACCCAACACGCATCAGACCCACGCAGCTAGAGCAGAAAAGATGCTTCAGCGGCACATGAGAACTAAACTTGTACAAGCATCAAAAATGAAGCAGCACACACGTTTTTGCTGCTTCTGCTGCTTGCGGCCTGGATGTACCATTACAGGGTTCCCGCAGGTCCTTAAAAAGTCTTAAAAGGCATTGAATTCTTCAAAATAAAACTAAGGCCTTAACTGGTATTAAAATGTCCTTAATCAGTCTTTCGTAGGTCTTAAATTTTGAAACATCATAAATAGGCAAATTTTTATTACGATTTATTTTTGTAATCTAAATAAAACGCTAAAATTGACAAATGTTTATTTTTATTTTTTTATTTTGTTAAAAAAAAAAAAAAATGGCTTACCATTATTGGTTCCGTTTCGATAGCGGAACCAATAAAAGCGTTGTTGCTGCCGGGACATTTGGGAGATGCACCATTAACTTTTGTCTGGAAAATATGAGCAAGTGTAAAAGTAATGAAAATTGTCTCCAGCCAAGAGTTTTCTCCATGGCTAAAACCAGGGAACATACATGAGGCTCAGTGTATTTTGTGAAAGAAGTCATTCAAGCTCGGAATGATGGGAATTAAGGCAGTGGAGTCGCATGCGAAGCACGAAACACAAAGCGTCAAAATCGAGTTACAGAGAAACAGCCGGCATTTCTCAGTTTTGTTCCACCCTTGTCTCTGCAACGCCTCCACTTATCACCAAATCAAACATACTAAGAAGACCATACAAAGAAAAATAGCTGCAAAAAAGACTTAGCACTGGTTATGTTGAGGCTTTAAAACTGATTTGTTTTGTTCCCTGCTAAAACAAAGTTTGTGAATTCAGTTAAATAATTGTTAAAATATATCTGTCATTTGTGTGTTTTTAGCTTTCTTCCTGTATAGGAAGATTTTCAAAATTTGAAACATTAGTGCAGTGGATCTCCTGAGAGTTGTAGCTGAATCAGGCTGATGAAGCATCAACCTTGATCCCTGGAAAAGAACAGGGAACAAACTATAACAGGACAAGGGAGATGTATGTTATGCACCTGTAGTTTGGTTTAAGTTTTTTTCTTTCTATAAAAATGCATTAAATTGTAAAAAAAAAAACAACCTAACCTCTGTGTTTAACCTCCAGCTGATGTTTGTTTGTATAACAGGGGATGGAGGTGGAGGAGATGGGAGCAGCGGCAGTGAGGAAACTGGAAATAATGGTGGAGTTTCTACCGTCCCAGTTCCAGTTAACCACGCCATGACCACATATGATGCCATGCGAGGTCTGGGGATTGTTGGCAGCAGTCCTCTGAGTGAGGAAGAGGTCGTAGACTTCACTGGTCTTCCTGAACATGGGAGGAATAATCTTCCCAGATTTTCAAAGGTAGGATTTTCAGTTGTTAAAATCCTAAACTTGATCTCCTCTTTAATACAATGATTATTAAAAAAAACAAAACGCTGTTATTGTTAGAGTGAATGATTATTATAAACGCTGATGGTTTAATTGTGAACTTGTTTATAAAGGTCTCGTCTGATTAGCAGTTTGGTTGGTGGGGGGGAAAAAATCCCTTTAAAGGAAGAGGAAGTTCCATCAAAATAAGAAAGCAAATAATATCTAATTGGAAATATGTGGAATCGTGTTAGAAAAAATAATTTGTTTGGAAGTAGGAACTTTATTGAATTGGAAAACTCGATAACCTTGTGCATATTTTGATTTTTAGACCAGGTTTATATCTAGAGTGTTTCCTTCTGCTGTACAGATGGGGGACCGTGTCGGCCCTGTAGGAACAGGTGAAGCCAGCTGCACTGCAGTGACAGCAGGGGGGCCTCAGAGACTTCCTGTCACCTGGAGTCAGATGCCGGACAGACAGGAGCCACTGGTAGGTCTACATATTTACTTTAGTCGTCTTTTTTTTAATTTTTTTTAATTAATTATACAGTTGAAAAACCACCAGCATGAAAACCC